TTAGTACAAAAACAACAACAACAACAAATATATTTTAATTAATTAATTGCTCATTTTTTTGTCAATTTATTTAATTTATGTTATCTTTCTCCCCTTTTTTTATTTAAAAAATATTTTTTCTTTTAATTTTATTCAAATTTTACTTTTTTTAAAAATTATTCTTAAAAATATTTTTAAAAAATTTTTACAAAAAGTTGTTTTAAATCCCCAGAGATTTTTAAATAAATAAAAGGGCAAAGATTTTTAAAAGGAACTTTTTTTCGTTAAAATATACATTTAAAATATAGTATATTTTGTACTTTTTAAATAAATCTTTTTATTTTTTTAAAACTTTTCTTCCATTAAAAACATATTTAAAAAATATTTTTTTTAATTTAAAAAGGTTATAAGTTCCTCCTTACTTTATTTTAATCTATTTATCATTAAAAAATATTATTTTATTTACGCAATAATTTAAAAACTTTTTATTTTTAATTTTTGTGTAAATATTTAAAAGCTTTTAATACAAATTAATTTGAGTATTTTATATGATGATATATTTATTAATTTTTAAATAAACAAATAAATAATTATTAAAATATTTATAATTTAAATTTAAATCTAGAAAATTCGTCAAATAAAATTAATAAAAAATTGTTTTTACAAAACAGAAAAGAATAGGACAAGTTTTTGATAATTCTTTTAAAAATCCTAACTCTTTAATATTAAGGACATAGGAATTATTTAAAACATTTTTTAATCCTTTAATTGTTTTGTGACGACGAAGTTTAAAGTTTTTTTTATTCAAGATTAAAGTTTTATTATTATTTTTTTAAAGTCTCAAAATCATTTGTAAATATATGTATGTAAATGTCCTTTCATCTTTCCTCTCGTTTTTTCTTTTTAAATTAAATTTTTTACTAAAAAAAGAATAAAAAAATATGTCATTTTATGTAATATAAACACCTCTACTTATCCTTTACTTAAAGTTCTCCTCATCCTCCTCCTAATTTTTTATTTGATGGATGTCTTGACATTATTTATTTGTTGCTTTTACTTAAATAGAGCAAAACTTGAACAAGTTTTGTCATTAAATTTAAATAATAAATATTAAATTATTAAATAAAATAAATAATTCGAATTAAAATTTGTAGCAAATAAAATTAAATACAATTAAATACCTCCTACTAATGATTAAACGCTCGTACCAAAATTCGTACTTGGTACACCAATTACGAACAAATTTGAAATCCAAGTATTTTCAACTATTTCAACGTTGGAAAATGTTACTAATAATTTATTTTTATTATATGTACATACTAAATAAAAGTAACATCATCTAATATCTTTTTCTTTCTATTTAAGCATTTCTCTAAAAATTATTCAAACTTTTCAGGTTTAATTAATATCCAAATAAATTTAATTAAATAAATATAAATAAAAAATCCTTTTATCTTTTTGGATTTTTTTTGTAAAATTTTGCCTAAAGAATTATTTTCTCAATTTTCGATAAAATTAGAAAAACCTCAAAAATCCAATTTTAAACAAGAAAAAATTCAATTGAATTAATTTCTCTCTTTCATTTTTAAAAAAAAATATTTTTTTTCTTAGAATTCTTTTACTAAAAATCATTAAAAAGTGTTCATCACTCTTTTTTCTTTGACATTTTATGTACTAAAAAGATTAATTAAAAGAACATTTCCTTATAAATTCTTAAAAAAGTGAAAAATTGACAGAAAAGGAAGTTAAAAACCTCTTTACCTACATAGTCCTGACATTTTTTGCCGTTTTTTGAGTAATTCCCCGTTCCCAATTCTCAAGTTCCCATCCTCACCACCTAACTCAAGGTCTCTAATAATTGGATACCGTGAAGATTAAATTCGTTGTCCATTTTTGGAATACCCGACACAAATATGCCAAAAACTTCAACTATCTACGTGAAATTTAAACAACATATGCACATAATTATTTAAATTTTAATAAAAATTATTTTTCTTTCGAATAAAATAAATATATTTTTCTAAATTTTAGTTTACAAGTAAATTTTAATTTAAAACACAAAAATGTTCTTTAATTTAAATAAAATAAAAACAACAAAAATAATTAAAAATAAATTATTTGCAATTATTTTGTTTATCTGTTTATTTAAAAGTTTTACAAATTCAAAACCTTTAAATAAAGAAGAAACACAACAAATAATTCCTTCAAATTTAAATGTAAATTTAATTTTATTTAAAAAAAGCAATAATTAATTTTAGATAAATCAACAACTACATTTCCTTCAAGATTCATCATTTCCTCCATCAAAATATATTTCGAAACGAAGAAGTGCAGAATTTATAAATGGTTGTTTGTTTAATTTAAAAATTAATTTTTAAAATTATTTAAAGGTCTTCTTTCATTAGAACGTTTAAATTCTATGGGGAAACGGTCAATAGCAACCCCTCTGTTTTGGGAATCGACATATTTTTAAAAGAAAATTTGAAAAGAAAGGATTTTTTAAAATTAATTTTGTTTTTTCTTAATATTTTGTGATCTCTTTTAACGAGTTTTTTCTAATTTAAATGTAATTTCTATTTGAATAAATGGAAGAGGGGTTTTAGAAAAAAATAATTTTTTCTTGATAAGTTTTGAAAATTTAGAATATTAAAATTAAATTTTAAAAAATTAAATTTATTTTTTAACCCAAAAATTTATTCTTTTATTTTTAGTCAATAATCAACTACACTAAATAAAATACTTTTCTGGAAAATAAAGGGAAAAATTAAAAATATTTATTAATCATTTATCCGCTCAGAAAATAAAAACGGATAAGAGAAGATTTAATTAAAAAAAGATAAAAACCAGTTATTAATTAATTAACAAAAATTTACCGCTCATTTCTATTTAAACTATAATAATTTAGTTAATATTGTGTGGGGGCGCCTTTCAGGAAATTTATTATTTAATTAATATATCACAAACAAACAAACGGATATACATATATTTTAATTAAAATTAAAGGATTTTTAAATTTTTCTTTTTAATTTTTACTTTTTATTTTTTCACAAAACTTTTTATATTTAATAAATATTTAAATTAAATCTGAGTTCCGATCGCGAATTTTTGAAAATGAACAATTTTAAGCATAAAAATCCGCATTTTTAAAAATAATCCTCCTCGGCCTATCAAAAAACCACGAAATGAGGCAAAATCTGCACATATCGGAACCCTGAATTAAATACTAACAAGGCTTTGTAAATGACATTTTAAGATAAACAATATTTGAAAAGAAAACTTTTTTAGATTTTCAAGCCATGTTTATTACCTTATATATTTTTTGAATAATTAAATTAATAAATTACAAATTTACTTGAACAAATAAGAGAAAACATTCGAGTTTTGTCTCAATATATCATTTTTATTTCATAGAGAAAAAATGTTAACGCCAAATAATTTGCGCCGAATTGTCCATTTCAATTCCCCCTATAAAACCTATACCTTTTGGATTCAAGTTTTTGCTTAAAACTTGAAGTCAAAAGGTTTAGGTTTTATAGGGGAAGCGGAAGTGGACAATTCGGCGCCGATTGTCTGACGCCAATATTTTGTTTCGATAAATTTTTTGTTAAATTTTATCCATTAAAAAATAAGGTAAAATTCCGTCATATCACCCGGAAACCGATTTGGACAAATGATATGTCATTCGAAAGATCTCGCCGAGCTGAGTCGAACGGCACCAAAATTAGCTGGGGGACTCACCTATGGGCCGAGATATTGGTCCCCGAAAATCGAAAAACCATAGGGGGGAGTAAGCAAAATTTTGGGGTGAAAAATTCGATTTTTTGCGTGATAGCTCATTCGAAAGAGCTCATTGAGCTGAGTCGAATGAACCAAAATCAACGAAATCCGACTTGATTTGACAAAGTTATGACAGTTTGTTTTAGCTCCGTACCTATGGTCTCCGTTGAAATTTTTACTGCTTCGGAGGAAGCCAGGAATGCCCAGCTCATCGATGATAGGAATAGGATTAAGTTATGAGCCCAGAACCCAGCGACCGTAGACTCCCCGCGAGGCGCGTGCCGCAAAACTCCGCGCGAAGCGCGGAGTTTTGCACAAGCGCCTCGCCTACGCTCCATAGGTTTACGTTGACCATTTTTAACCTGTTTATCTTGGCTCAGAATCAAGATCTCGAGCTGATTTTGGTGTCATTCGACTCAGCTCGAGGAGCTCTTTCGAATGAGCTATCATTCAAAAAATCGAATTTTTCACCCCAAAATTTTGCTTACTCCCCCCTATGGTTTTTCGATTTTCGGGGACCAATATCTCGGCCCATAGGTGAGTCCCCCAGCTAATTTTGGTGCCGTTCGACTCAGCTCGGCGAGATCTTTCGAATGACATATCATTTGTCCGAATCGGTTTCCGGGTGATATGACGGAATTTTTCCAAAAATAATTTCAACGTACACTATCAATTGATATTTTACATTAACAAATTATATAATTCTTGTTAATAAAATTAGTCAGTCTTAAAATTTATAAGTGAAGAAATAATTTTGGCGCCAGGTTGTGTTGGCGCCAAATAGTCGTTTTAATCCTAAAGGTTTAGGCTTCACAAGGTTTAGGCTTTATTTGTACTTTTCGGCGCCACCAATTTGGCGCCGCCTATTTTTGTTGGACATTATTTAAAATTTATTTCTATTATGAAATAATGAATTTGTTTATTTAATAAAATCTTAATCAAGATTTTTAAGTCAAAATATTTTCCAAAATTTTCGCCAAGTACGCTAAAACCCGAGTGTTAACTTTTGAACGATTTGGCCTACACCAACACGAATCTCAACCCCAAAAATCCCAACCCCAACTTTTCTACCTCTAAAGGCTTGGGGCGCAACCATAATTTAAACAACCCCAAAAAAGTCCGGATTTTTGGGTTGTATAAATCTTAAATATATTTTTGAATTGGTAAGATTATGGAAAAAATGTTTTAAGAATTTTCCATAAAATATTTAATTTTAACAAAATTATTTTTAAATAAAGGGGTAAATGAATAAAGAATTTAATTTAATAAAAACAACAAAAACAATTAAAAAATTAAATAAAAAATTATTTTTATTAAAATATTTTGAACAAAAAATTTGGCAAATCCACAAACTGTCAACTTTTCTTTTTTGTTTTTTAATTCTTTTAAATGGACTTTCTGCTTCTCTTTCAGCTATAGAAAAAAGTAAATTGGCAAATGAATTGAAAAAAGTTTTGAAAAAAAAATTAAAAATAAATTTAAATATTTATTTAGAAAATCTCGACAATTAATTTATCTTCAATTTCTGATGAAGAAGAATTGACACAAGAACTTTTGTCTTTATTTGATTATGATAGTAGTGAAGGTGAAGAAAACAATTATTTTAAAGAAGAGGAGGGAAATGAAATTTTAGGTATTTAATTGAATTAAAATTTAAAATTTTTTTAGATAAAAATAATTTAGATATACAATTTAGTAAAGATTTAGAAGAAGAAGGAGAAGAAAATAATGAAAATAATGCTCAAGTTTTATTACAATTATTAGATGTTATTGATGAAGAAGGAATTGAAATTGAAAAAGAATTTAATAAAACAAAAAATGAAAAAGAAGAAAATAAAATATTAAAAAATAATGAGGGGAAGGAGGGGGAGGGGAAGGGTTAGTGGTGTTTAAGGATTTTTGTAAAATTATTTTTTAAATTAGAATTTAATTTAATTAATTCAACAATAATTAATTCAAATAATTTATTTAATTTAACAACAAAAAAAGAAGAGAAGGAGGAAATTAAAAATATTTTAAATTCAACAAATTTAATTAATAAAGAAATAAAAATTGAAGAAACAACAATTAATTTAACAAAAAATAATGATGGTAATTAATTATTTAATTAAAATATTTTTAATTTTTTTTAAAGAAATAAATTTTAATCAAAAAACAACAGAAAATAATTTAATTAATAATAACCAACAAACAATATTTACAACAACAAATTCCGTTTCTTCTCCAACTTCCACTATAACAACTAGCGAACAAACAATTTTACCCACAACACAATTAATTAATGTTGTAAACACAACAATTAAATCAGAATTAAGTAAAAAAAGAAAATAAATAATTTAAATTAATTAATTTATTTAGATAATTTAACAACAACAACAAAAATAATTACTTCTCAATTATTCCCTACTTTTAATTTAACAAATAATTCTGAAAATTCAACAACAAAACCAACAACAATAGAACAACAAGATATTAGTTTATTTAATTCAACAAAAGAAAATAAATTATTTTTTGAAATTACAACAACTTCAATACCTTTAAATAATTTAACAGTTAATTTTAAAAAATAAAAAATAATTATTTATTTATTATTTATAATTTTTAGATAAAAGAAGAAGAAAATAACATAACTACAAAACAAATAATAGAAGAAAATAATAATTTATTAATTAACGACAACGAATCAAAAGAATTTTTAGAAATGAAATTAATAAAAAAAGAAGAATTAAATTTGGCTATTTTAAAATTAGATAAACAAATACACGAAAATGGGGATTTAAATAATATTAATTGTTAGTAGGGAGGGGGTTTTTAATAAATTATTTTAATTTAAAAAGTTGACTGTCTCTTTTAATTATTTCTGCATAATTTCTGGATATTTAACAAAATTTTAATTATTTTTTAGTCGAAGAACTTCAAAAATATAAAGAAAATTTAAAAAGAATAATAACAACAATAGATACAGCATTAAATACAATGGAAAATAATGAAAATAATTTAGTAGAAGAAAAAGAAGGAGAAAATAGTTTAAATAAAAATAAATTAATTAAACAATTAATTAAAGATAATTTTAAAATTAAAAGGTTTTTCTTTAAATTTAAAATATTTGAATAAAATTTAATTTTAAGTGCAATATCTTCCTCATTACCTAATTGGAGATCTAAATATTTATTAAATAGAATTAATTCTTTTAATAAAAATGTTGAAGAAAATATTCGAAAAAGTCCTCTTCAATTAACAAATAAAACAACAACAACAACATTAATTCCCCAAACAAATAATTCTGAAGAAAATATTACAATAAAAACAACATCAACAATAAATACAACAACAATAATATCTCTTTTAAATCAAACATTTATTGAAAATATTGGTGGTAATATTTAAATTAAATATTTTTTAGAGAAAATTTTAAAAAATTAGAATAAAACACATTTATTTTTAAAGAAAATATTTCAATAACAACAACAGAAAAAGAAGAAAATACTCCTCAATTTGATATTTTAAATGATTCACTAACTACTTCAACTTCTTCATCTACCTCCAATTCAAAACCCAATATTTTGCTACAATCAAATAAATTATTTATTCCAAAAATAATTATTCAAAATTCTATTGTAATTTTAATTTTTAATTTAAATTTAATTTAAAATTAATTTCAAAGAAAAACCTAACAAGTTCTATTCTCGATCAATGTAAACATTTAAGTCAACCAGAATTAGTAGAGGAATTAAAAAGAAAGGGAACTTACAATCCAGAATTAATGGCTTGGGATGTTAGCGGCGTTTTTAGATTTCTAGATCGTTCAATTGTTGATCAATATGAGAAACAAATAAAAACACAAAAATCTGGAGAACAAGCAATTAAAAGAAATATTGAAGCTTTGGAAAAGTTACTTGGAGAATTAAAATTACATTGCGTAAATAAATTAATTATTTTTAAAAATTAAATAATTAAATCTCCAAAATTAATTAAATATTTATTTTCAGAATATTCGAACTCCAGAGGCTTTATCAAGATTTGGCAATATAACATTGTAAATTAATTAATATATAATTAATTTTTAATTAAGATAAATTTAGAGCAAATCCAAAACATTCAATAATATCCCCTTCAATGCGTGGGGGTTATTGGGTAAATTAATTAAATTTAAATCAAAATTAAATTTTAAAATTTAAAGGAGGAAGGGGAGGAGAATATAATGATGACTAGACAAAAAAGAAATACAATTTTTGCTCAAAATCTTTTCAATTCTTCTTCTTCTGAAAGAAGAAAAAGAAGTGATTTTAAAAATAAAAAACAATTAAAATCTCAAATAGGGGATGTACATATAGTCCCTTTTGGGTGTGACAAAAGAGGATATTCTGAGGTAGTTTTTTAAAGAAAATATTTTTTTATCAAAAATAAATTTAAAAAGGATGGTTATTTACGTTTATGTAGTGCTTGTCAAGCAATTAGAAAATTACCTGGGGATTTTTTCCCTCCTTTTATTAACGAAGTTGTTTGCAATGAAGATAAAGCTTGTTTATATTTTTATGAATATCGTTGGTTTTTTTTTAAATTAATTTTTTTGAAAATTAATTTTAAAGCACATGGGAAATGTAAACAAAAATATATGAATTTTGTTGTTTTGAGAAATGTTGGAACGCCGTTAGTAATTTTTTGTTAAATAATTATTTTTATTTTTTAGATTATGTCAAGTTTGGGAAAAGTTTAATTTAAATGTTAGAGTTTCTTGTGAATGTTTTGTTGATGAAATGTCTTTTTTTGCTAAATATGTTTAAATTATTTTTTAACAAATTATTTATTTTTATAAAAATTGTTTAATTGAAAATTTAGAAAAAAAAATATGTAAAAATGATGTTTAAAAAATCTTTTTCAACAAAAGTGAAATGATTTTTTTTCGTTTTTAGATTAAAGGAAAGAAAAAATATTTATATAAAAAATTTAAAATACAGAAAATATAAGCAACATTTTTAATTATTTAAAATCACCAGAAAGAGAAAGAGAGAATGACCAGAGAAAAAAATAAATACAATCGGATCTCAATTAATTTAGTCATTGAAGGGAGGAGGCTGCCAAGATATATATCCCCAATGTACACAATAGGACTTATGTGTAACACTTTTCCGTTCCTAAAAGTGTGTACCTGAGTGAGTTCCGACTGTATATAATTAATAGAGTTTTGAAATTAACTTGAGGACAATTAAATTTTATAATTTGGGAAAGGGATGATTTGGAAGTTAAAATGATTTTTTTTGAAAAATATTGGAAAAGTTTTTCGGAAATATGTACATATTAAAAAATGGAATAACCAACTAAACTCGATACTTAAATGATTTGGATTCGATAACCATCAACCAAAAATACAAGTAATTCTAGACAGTAATTCCCGGTTCCAGGACCCGATGACTTTTTGGAGCCGCGAAAGGCATTGATTTAAATTAAAAATATTTAGAAGGGAAAACCAACACTTTATTTTCAAATAAAAAAATCATTTTAATCTATAATTTAACTTTAAATTTCAAAAAATGGGTTTAAAAAATGGCGAAAAGAGAAAAATAAAATAGAGCGAATTTTAAAAAACGAGGGAAAGCTTCATCATAATTTTCACAAAAAAATAATTAATTAATACATTTGTGGTATTCTTTGAAAAATTCTAGCGACAAAAACATTTAAAAAAATATTTTTAATGGAAATTTTGGTAAGAAGAATTTTGTTGTAATGGAGGTGTTTGTGCACTTCCCCCTCCACTACTTCCAGCAAAAACACAAGATAATTCTCCAGCTAAAATTAAATAAAAAATATTTATTTTTAAACAATTAAACAAATAACCACCAGAACGATGTGTGTGAATGCAATACCAATTCCCATTTCTTTTTTTCCAAACACGTGTTTCTTGTGCTTGACAAGTACGTGCTTCTCCAAATCTTTTAAATTTAATTAAAAATTAAATTAAAAATAAAAACACCTATCAATATATTGTGTTAATCGAATATAGGCAATACAAGCTCCTTCATCACCTAAAAATTTATTTTTATTTAAAAATTTAAAAGTTTTGTTTATCAAAAATAGAAATATTTATTTCTAATCACACAAAAAAACTAGTTTCTAATATTTACCCATTAAATGAACATTTGGATTTAATAGAGTAGTGTGTATTTGATGTTGTTTATCAGAACCAGGTAAAATTTGTGGTCCTAAAAATAATTTATTATTTTTATTAAATTCCAAAATAATTATTTTTTTACCATTAACAAAATAAAATTTATGGAAATCCATTCCTTCTTAAAAGAAATTAATTTTAAAAATTTAAAAAATAAAATTAATTCTAACCAATAAGATTTCCCAAAGTTTCTGGTTCAAAACAAGTAAGGTTTGGGTCACATAATTTTCTTTAAAAAAATTATTTTTAAATTTAAATTTAACAAAGAAAAACAAACGAAAAAGAATCAAAATCTTTGCAAGAAATTGCATCTAACAATTGTTGAGTTACTCGAACAATTTCTTGTTTTTGTGCTAAAATATTAAATTATTAATTTTTAAAAATAACATTTAAAAATCCCCTTCTCCCAAAATATTTTAAATAAACAGACAAACAAAAAATACAAAAAAACTAAATATATTTTACAAAAAAAAGAAAGAAATAGAAAAGATTAATTAATTTTTTGTGTTGCTTGCTTACTCTTAACAGTTGATGCTGAAATATTACTAGTACTACAAATACCACTACCACTCATTACTGCAGCAATAGCTGTTAATTGTGATAAACTATTACTAAATGTTGAAGGAGACAATAATATATTATTATTATTCTTTCCATCATTATAAAGTGGAGAGGAGGTGGCAGGTGTTGGTTGGGAGAAGGCGGAATGATTATTTGATGGAGGAAGTTGATGAAGAAATTGATGATGATTGTGATTGGGGGAAGGGGAGGAGGATGAAATTGGAGAAGAAAGGTTATTTTGTTGTTGTTGATTATTTGTATTTGTATTATTAGAGGAACTAAGTAGGGGTACAAAACCTTTTAACATTATTTTTTGAACCTTATTTTAATGTTTAATTAAATGATAAATTAGAGGTATGTAAATACAAAAAAATATATTTGGAGGAATCAAAAATTCTGATATAATATAAATTGAAGGTAATGTGAAAAAAAGGTATATTTATATACAATTTTCTTGATAATCTTAAAATTATACAAATATTTATATAAGAAACATTTAAAATAAAATTTATTTCGATATATATTGAATAGCTTTGAGTGAATTGAGGGGGGATGGCACTCCCCGGGGAGTCTAAAGTAAAGGTGTGAAAAATATAAAAGAGAAGAAAAGCTTTGTGTGTCTCGTGGTGCCACCCAAAATTTTGACGAAAAATTTTTTACTTCAAAAACAATTAATCCTTTTATTTTTCCGATAAAAACATTAAAATAATTATTTAAATTTTTTTTTAAATTTAAATAATTTAAATAATTATTTAAATTTTTTAAATTAAAATAAAAATTTACACATCAATATTAAGCAAAAAATAAAGTAAACAGATGAAGGCAAAGTTAAAACAGAATTTTTAAAGAAGGAAAGGATTTGTGTGATTTTTAAAAAAGTAAAAAGTCAATTGCCTAGACCACAAATGCTTTTTTTCTTTTCTTTTTTTTCTTTCAGTTAAAAAAAACGAAAAAAATTGTTTGGAATTCACTTGATCTGATTGATTTCTGACTTTTTAAAATAAACTTGACAAATAAAAAAAGTAAACGATAAAAAATAAAAGTTGGTTTAAGAAGAATAAATTTAAAAGGCAAGCAGAAAGTTAAAGATTTATCTCTTCAATTGAGATAATTATAAATTTTAAATGAAAACATTTTCGATGTAAAATTATAGAAATAAAAATATTGGATTTAATGAAAAATGGCTCTAATGTATTTTAGACCCCCTCCCCCACTCAGATCATCAACTTCAGAGGCAGATTGAGAATTAACTATCTGCCACCATGTACAGAATCTGAGCCATTAACTATAGCATTTTAGGAGTTTTTTGGGACGCACAAAAAATTTTATGGGACAAAAACATTCATAGGAAGTATAAAGTGTATCAGAAACAAAAAAATGTACAATTAGCGAGGTTTGGATTTCCAAAAATGTTATCTAAAGTAGTTGGGGCAATTTGTGAATAAGAAATAAAGCATTCATTAATTAAGAAAACAAGAAAGGAAAATAAAAAGGAGAATACACACATATTGTGCATTTTATAAAAACAAGTCCAAAACAAATATATATTTATTATCGGATTTCATTAATAGTGAAAACCTAACAAATAAGACACATAACAGAAAAATAAAGAAAATGAAGAGACAAAAAAAACAAAAGAAAACCAAAAAGCAATGAAAAACAAAAAATACATATTTTTGTTATGTGTGACATGCTACAAGTGTTCTTTTGTGGAATTTTATTAGCGAAATCTTATATGTACATATGTAATTTGTGCAATAGAAAATAGAAAATTCTTTTGAATAAACTTATAAACATCAAAAAAACATCAAACCCTAGTTATACGATAATTTTCTAATAGAAACTAGCTAATAGATTGCACATTATGCTATGTATTCTACATTATCCTGTTAGAACTACAAAGGGATTTAAATTATTGTCCAACATATAAATGTAATACATAAATTAAAAATTTAAATGCAGAATATAAACCCCTTAAAAAATTATATTATTTATTTTTTTCTTACAAAACTTCGAGTTAAATTTTTAAATAAACCCACATAAAAATAAAAAATAAAATATCACAAAAATGCCCACCAGAAAGAATTGGGGAAGCGCGTGCGGGAAGAGGTGGAGCAGGTGATGAGGCAGCAGAAGCAGTTGTAGCTCCAGCAGCAGAATTGTAGTAATTTCCAACACCAACAATTGTTGCATTCATTCCACCACTAATCGGAGCCAGTGGTGATTGTTGGTGGCCCTTATTGTTGTTGGGCACTCGCTCAACAACTGTATTTTCATGTTGAATACGCGCAGCTGCAGCTGCTATAGAGGAAGAAAAAAAGAGGAAAAAATAATTTATTTTATATTTATAAAAGATTTTAATTTGTTTTTAATATAGTGACAGTTATTTTAGTGCTAGAAATTTGCAAAAAATATTTTTAAATTAAAACTTAAAAGTTGGAATTAACAACTGACACTATACATTTAAAGAAATAAAAATTAAAAAAAGGTTAAATAAAAAAATTGTGAATTTTTGAATTAAAATAACTAGTAGAGGTTAATTAAAAATTAATTGAAAAAAAAGTACATAAACAGCAAAAAACTTTTTAAAGAAAACAGCAAAAGGATAAAATGTGCAAATTAAACAAAATTAGGAAAATAAAATTTTAATAAGAAACAAAAAGTACATTTTTTGTGAAGATTAATTCAAAAAAATAGACAAGGACAGTGCAAAAATGTAAAAATAATAACACAAAAGGTTATTAGATATTTAAATTTTATTTTAGATTTTAAAAATAATTATATGTAGATTATAAAATTTAAAATAAAATGAAGATTATTAAAAATGTTTATTTAAATTCTAAATTATCTTTTAATTAATACTTTTATTTGTTTTGGCAATTAAAAAGAAAAAGCGAAAAAGAATCAAGAAAATGTTAGACAAAAAGGTAAATAAGAATAAAAAAAAGAGAGGGAAAATTTAAGTAAATTTTTGAGTTTTTAAAAAATTTTTAGAAGGATATTTTAAAAGAAAATCCAAATAATTATCAAAAAAATATTTTGGCTACTCTAAAATTTCCCAAAAAACCCCCCAGTTCACAGCAAACTTAAATGTTAAATACAAAACCACAAAAACCAAAAAATATAAACTACTTCTTTCAAACACTCAATCACCTTTATCTGCTGTTGAGCTGGTACCCAAACCATCAGAATCGTCAATAGTTTGCGAAGATTCTGTAGACTCCTTGATTGTACTTGGCGGCACGTCTTTTTTATTCAACAAATTTCGACCTGTAGTTTAAAAATGAAAAAAATATTAATTTTTCTTTAATTTTTAAAATTCATTTCAAAAAGTTTAATAATAATTAGGGTTGTTCAAAACATACAAATGCATGTTTTGAATGCGGATATGCTATTTTTGCAGCACATTTTAGGGAATTTTGCAACTTTTTTGCTGCATAAATATGGCCATATTTGGCAATTCTCCGTGTAAATCATGGACAACCTTAACGATAATATAAACTCACTTGACATATTTCTAGTTGCTATCATTGTTGTTAGGATGGCACCCTATTTAAAAATAAAATTAAATATATATGTATTTAAATAATTAGTAAATCCTATCTTTTCTATTTGGAAATAAATGTATAAAAAAAAAGTTAATTGTAAATAATGTTAAAAATAATTTGTAAAATTAAAAATGAAAAAAGACAAAAAAAAATTGCAAACAGATAAAAGCAAATAAATAAAAAATATTAAAAAAAGATAGACACACATTCACAAAAAAACACAAAAACAAAAAAATAACTCTCTTTAAAATATTAACCCTAATAAATTATAAGCAAAGCCACTACAAAACAAAAAAAAACAAAGGATTAAAAAAGGATTTTCAGCATTTTTTGACCACCTCGTTTTGCTGTTCCTCTGCAATTGTAGGTGCTGAATCAGACCTTTTCGGTGGCAAAGATTCAGCGAAGTTTTGGACTGCTGAAGGATTAACTGTCATTTCTGGACGCCAACCAATGACAGAACAATTATTAATATCAACATTTTGAGTGGCAGCTGTATTTTTAACAGAAGCTGGATAGCGCCAACCAATTCCCTCATTTTTATTATTTGGAGTATTTCCTTCTCTATCTACAGAGTCGAGAGATGAAGTGGTAATGGGTGGAGGTGTTGGAGTTGAGCGGCTGCTTTGTGGTGTAATTCGAAAGGCATTAGACATCCTATTGACCATTGTCACAGCAGAAATTACTGCCTATACAAAAAAGATGGAGAAGGAATTGATACTAGAAAATGATAAACCCTTTTTTCATTTAAAAATATAGGAGATCGGATTTCAAAAAATTTAAGGCTTAAACAGGGAAGCCAAAAATAGGAAAAGAAAAGAAAATTTATGGCGATTGTTTAGACTATGAGTACAATGAAAGGCATGTCTAAAGCTGTTTTTGACTTGTCACATTTGGTTTTTTGTTTTAATCCAAAGTAAAAATCAAGTCTAAAGCATTAGACATCCATAGGTCATAAGACCCAATGACTAAGCAATTTATGGCAGTGAACTCATAGACTGAAAAGCCGAACTTTTTTCTCAGTTTTTATCAAAAATTGTAGGAAAAGTCTTTAAAGAAAATATCAAAAAAATAAGCTTAAATGGGGACAGAAAATTTAAGAAATTTTCCCTCAAAAATTAAAACATTTAAAAACAATAAAAACATTTAAAAGTGTTAAAAAATACAAAAATTTATATCAATATTAGCAAAAAACATTAACAATTCCACTGACATAAAAATAAACAAAACACCGACCAAAATCGAAAAAAACGAGAAAAAAGTCCACAAAAATATATATATAAATTTAAATTAATTTTTAAAAATTAATACTTACCTTTAATTTACGTCTGGCATTGAATTTACGCAAACAATCAACAGTATCTTGACGATGCATCATTGATGCTACTCTTTGTCTATCCTAAAAAAAGATTTAAGATATTTTTATTTAATCATAAATAAGGGAAAGGTGTATGGAAAATAAAAGAAGAAAATCTTTCATAACTCGAAGCACTCCGTAAAAACAATTAAATTCAAAACCCTTCTATCGCGTTATTTTTGACGTAAATAAATATATTTCCTAACCCTAACAACAACACATTCAAATAATTAAATTTATAAAAATTTACACAAATCCAAGGCACTTTCAAAGCTTCTTGGGCTGTGATTCTCTTTTTTGGATTTAATGTTAACATTGCATCAATAAGTGCTTTAGCTTCTGGTGTAACAGTGTCCCTTAAAAAATAAAAAAAATTTTTAATTAAATTAAACCAACCATTCGGGTGTTGGATACTTTAAAAAGAATAATAAAATTAAAAATCAAAAATTTATTTAAAAATTTACATCGTAAGCGCCATTTTTAATTTGGGCATATAACCGAAGTTGGTCTTCATCCCAAAAAGGAGGATACCCAACAAGTAAAATATAAAGAATTACACCTAAAGAAAATAATGATTAAGAATAAATATTTTTATTTATTTTATACCACATGCCCAAATGTCTACAGGCTTTCCATATGGATCTTTTTTAAGTACTTCCGGGGATAAATAGCCTGGAGTGCCGGCAAATCCATACCTTTTTAATTAAAATTAAAAAAAAGTAAAGTAGAGATAATCGTGATTTTTGATCTTTACTAGGATGTAAATTTTTACATGTTGATCTGATCAGATCAATCTTACTAGATAAAATAATCCTTACATCAAGAGCTTTTGATTGATATATTAATTATCTAAATCGATTAAGAATTGAAAAAGTTATGGACCAAAATATGTCCCCGTGACTCAGTAACCCTGTTCCGATTAACGATATATAAGCGATGTAAAAATTTAAGTCTTTCTCAAATAATTTAAAAATTAATTTAAAAATACCAAGCTTCATCCTCTCCCTTTACTTCAATTGCAAGGCCAAAATCAGCTTTAAAAATAATTACTAAAATTTAATTCCAATTAAATTTAAACCTAATTTAACAGAAGCTCCTTTAGCACGACTGGCAAGTAATAAATTTTCTGGTTTTAAATCTCGATGTACAACACTATTATCGTGACAATAAGCAATTGATTCAAGTATTTGTTGAATACATTGACTTAAAAAAGAATTTTTAATTACTCAAAATTTAATTTAAAAAAACCTAGCATCAGCTTCACTATAAAATTCCCGAGCAACAATATCTTCAAAAAGTTCACCACCGGTAACTCTTTAAAAATTAAAAAATATTTTTTCTTAAATTAAAAAAAATACAGATCAAAAACGAGGTAATGAAATCCTTCTTCTTGTATACTATCATGAAGACGAACTTTAAAAAATTGTTTTTTTGAGAATATTTCTCAAAATTTATTTAAAAAATACCAATATTTGAGTGTTTTAATTTTCTACAAATTCTGGCCTCACGTTCAAGTTTTTGAAAATCTAAGGAAAATTTTTTAAGAAAATATTAAATCACAAAAAAACCTCTTGAAGACAATTTTCGAGTATTAATAATTTTGGCAGCAAATCTAAACAAAAATATTTATAGAAATAACAATTAAATACTCCATATTTGTAGCTTTGTGAACACAACGACGAACAACAGAGAATGCTCCTCTGAAAATTAATTAAGACTTTTTCAAAATTAATTTAAAATTCTTTACTTTCCCAATTCTTCCTTAACATCATAATTGTCACTAAATTTTGTAGAAGTTGCATTATTCATTTGGATTTGTTGTTGCTGAGAAATTGCAGTCTTAAAAATAAAAATATTTTTAAAAAATTGGGAAAATTATTTTAAAATTAAAAAATAATGGAAAATGTGTCGTTTAGACTGCGAATATTGAGTGTTTTAATTTTCTACAAATTAAGACTTTTTCAAAATTTCCGCAAAACCCCCATTTAAAGCATTCATTGTTTAACTAAAGGTCATGATTTTGCATCGTCATGGATCAAACTTTAACTTTTCTTTTTAATTTCATTAACAAAAGCTTATTTTTATGAAGTATTCCAAGATTATCTACCAGTCCTAAAATTATCTTTCTGTTAAATTAATTTTGATGTGTAATTTTGTTATATTTTAATTAAACGTGAACATTATTATGATAGTTAAAAAATGAAACTACGCCTCTTGCATAAAAAACTACACCCGCAAAAAACCCTTTAAAGTGTCAAAACACAAATACCAAAATAATTTTAACAACTAATATTTCTTAAAATGGAGTAATAAATTGATAAAGAACTTACTGCAGCCATTTGATTGTTGCTATTAGTCATCATATTATTCGGCTGTCCAGGGCTTACAACCATTTTTTCGATAATTCAATAATTAACATATTTTTAAAAAGAATTTTTTTAAAAAATATTCTAAATTAAATCTTTAAAAAAATATTTAATTCTCTCCTTTTCAATACAAAATTAAATTCTTCATTGGTTTCCACTGTCTATAAAGGGGTTTAAAGGAATCAATAAATAAAAAACATCGTTGGCCATAAACAGAATTTTTGCGTTAATAACAAAATGTAAGGATTGTGAAAATGAAGAAAGAGAACTGATATATAACGGGGCTGTCAGTAAAAAGTGGGAGAAAAAAACGGACAGAGGGGTTTTGTTCAGCCGTTAGCAGCAGCCAGCATGCATTTTTCTTCTTCTTCTTCTTATGATGGCAGCTTAGGTACACTTAAATTTCTTCACGATTCTGGTGTGAAGAGATTGAAAAAAAAGAATGGGGTAAAATAATGGGACCAGCTAAAAATTTTCCGTGTGCGAATAGTGAAGGAGAAGCGATGCGTGCGGAAGTGATATAGACGCAACCTTTTTTTCTTAACTCTCGCCACACTATTATTCATTAATGATTAATTTAATTTTCTTTGTTTTAAATGCGACAATAAATAAATGATATTTTTTGTTATTAAAGTTGATTTCAGTCATTTTACGAAATTATTACATTATGTAGGTTTTTTCTATCAAAGATATCAATTTATTTGAGATCTTATTTATTATTACATTGAATCGGCTATATAATTTGGAATTTTAAAGAGTAATAAATATTTAAAAAATTAGCTAACATACATAATAAACGATATAATAAGACTTTCATTGATCAATATTTGTCAACTTAATTGATTTGCAAAAATATGTACATATACTAGAGTACAAATAGTAAATCCAGAAAAATAATAACAGCTGTTTTGATTTGTAAAAAATACTTTTAAAAGTATTCATTGAGTAATAAACTATTCGAAATGTATGTCAGAGGAGGGTTGGAAATGCTGAAGGTGTCGGAACTCGAAAGTTTCGGAAGTTGGAAGTCATTGTAAATTTTGGAAATCGGAAATACAAACGACAAAGTGGTAACAGAAAATGTAAACAATTTCTGAGCTGTGTGCTTGTAGAAATTGCAAATAATCTCAAATTTTGAGTTTCTAGTGCCAAAGACAGCATAATTCAAATTTTCAGATCCGCAGGCTCAGGATTTCGGATAATTTAAGCTTTTATCATTTTTAAGCGTAGTAGGCTAAAATTTTTAAATGCCTAAGAAGCCAGAAATTCTTTTTAGCGCCGCAGCCGCTAAAATTTAAATTAGAGGATTCATTTGAATTTTTTATTAATTTTTCATTTGATACGTACTAATATTAAATTACATTTAATAATATGTATTTAAAAATAAAAACATTTTTGGAAGGAAAACCGAAAAGAAAGTCACCATACCAGATTAAGATCCGAACCTAAGCTTAGTCAATACAAACCTGACTGAAGTCTAAAAGCTCCTGGAATGAATTTCTGAGAATTTTCCAAAGATAAATCTAGGGAAGTGGAAAAACGTTGGAAATCGGATTTCCTTTTTTAAAAAGGAAAAAGTCAGAAAATGGGATTTTGTTGTGTAATATATATTGCCCTTAATGTTGAAAGGAAAGATAACAAAAACGACAATGCCAATTCATAGGCTTCTCGTTCACATTCATTTTTAACAAAGCGCGCTTATGCATGACTGCGAAACGGCACGAAAGAGAAATAGGAAGAGGGTTCTTTGAGAAAAGGGAAACGGCACCAATTCCACTTGTGTGCCAAGTCCCAATCCATTAGCCTCTTTGTTTGTTACCGGCACTATGTACTACTAATGAATTTTGAGTTTATTGCAGTGGCCAAGCGGAAAAAAGCAGGCAAAATGACATAGATATGCGGCTTCAAGTAGGCACATCACCATTTTTCTTTTTTAACGACCACACGTTGAGCACGGCGGCTTTATCTTGGAACGGCATAATAATGGAATTATAGAAAGAAAAATAATTGATTTTTCATTAAGCATGAAGACAACTAGGTTTGAAGTTAAGGCTGTCAGTGTTAATTTTACTTTTCTACAAAATACTAATAGTGCATGTAAAAGAACAATTTTTACGTCATAATTTCCAAATGTATTATGCAAATTAAATTTAACAAAAATGAATTTTTGATTAATTTTAAGTTTTAAGTCAAAAGTACGGTAAGGCAAAACATTTAAGTTAAATCCTTACCTAAAATAAATAAAATAAATAAACTTGGATTGGCGTTAAAGACTGTGCTTGAGAATTTTAAATTTTAAAAAGCGGAAACGGAAGAGCTAAAAAGGCGGAATTCTGCTGAAGGTTGAAGCGAAAGAAAATCCAACCCTGTTAGAGATCTACAAGTGGAGCTTTCGAATTATCCTATGTCCATCCGTTTCAGTTTTGTTGTTTCCTGCTCCTTCTTTACAGTCATTCTGCTTTATTCCTTCTTCACAACAGGATTGGACCGGACATTGAGACCACCTCTCCGGACTGTGCTTGAGTAAAGAATAGCGCCTTAGGATCTTCTGCCCATTGGACGACGAATCTATCTGGGCCAGGAGCCCTTCCAGCGAAACGGTACACATTGATTGGCTTCTTGTCATTGGAGACTAAAGGTTTAACTTGAATGACAGGCCTGCTCTTGGGAACAGTACAATAAGCATTTTTCCAAGTGAGAATTCAAGTGATCATAACTTTGTCCAATATCCTCAGTAACGCTGATTTTAATCTCAAATGAGCGATGCATCATTTGCAAAAGTTTTTATTTTTGTGAAAATTCGTTTGGCTCAGTCTAACATTGAAATTTGCTACCAATGATTGTGATATGTCCAATGAGTCAATAAATAATTTATTTAATTATAAGTCTTCAGTTTTCAATTTTTCTCATTGTATAAAACTTTATCATTAAAATTAAAAACACCATAAAATGTATTTAATTTCCTTCCTATATTTAAAAATATCTAATATTTTATTGTTGTTCAGAGCATAAGAATCAAAAGAGATTATTTAGCAAGTTTGGATGGTTCCAAGCACCGGAAATTCGATGATTGTTGATATTATTAAATTTATACCTTAATAATTGTGTTTTTTTTTAGAAAATATTTAGTCTAAACTAACCATTCAGTTCTATATTTTGTCCATGTTGGATGATAAGGATATGCCCAATGAAATGGATCCTTACGATATTCGTATGGGCCTGGCGGGCATTGAAAATGTATTTGGCTATGAGGCCAATGGGAGCGATATGTCCAATGAGGTCTGTAAACGTATGTAGAAATACGTGGACGAAGAACTGGGACTCTAGGCCAGGTAATTGGATGTGCTAAAACTTCTCTTCGATAATCAGCAAAATCAGTAATTGAATATGTTCTCTTTAAATTAAAATAATAAAGAAAAAATGTAAGAGGAAATAAAAACTGACTGGAACGACTGGATAATTTCCGGCAGATGTTGAACGAATACCACATAAGGATTGGGATCTAGTTAATCGATAGGAAGTATTTAATTCCATTAAAAAATACTAATTCTCTACGAAAACGGCAAACAAATAAAAAAGAAACTATTTGGAATGCAAAATTGCAAAGACTTCTTTATTCCTCATAATTGCCAGCTGTTTTTATTTTTTCCGAACATCTGTTGGAATTTATTGTTGGTAAATATTTGTTAGATCGATATGTATGTAGTGTAATGATTTAAACAATATATCCTTTTATTTGATAGAAAGTACACGGGAGATTAGTTATTTAAATAATAACCCCGTACTTAATTAATGCTTTCTGTATTATATTCTTTCCCTTAATTATTTAAAATCCCAACACAAAAATAAACACAAAATTCAAAGTTTATCGACAAATTCTTCAAAGTTTAAAAAACACGTAAATGTGTTGTTGTGCCAGTCGATTTTAGGGTTGGATAAAATGGGGGTGAATACATGTACATTTTTTAAAAGGGAAAATAAGAGTAAAATATTCTTACACGCAAACTGAGATAAAATGATGACACTTTAATAAATGTATCTTTTCTGGGGATTTTTTGTTTTTAAATTTTTTGTTGTTTTTTAAAAAGAGGTGGAGATGAATAAAATTGGAATAAAATGAATGGGGGAATAAACAAGAATTTAGAAGTTCTTTTTTTAGAGCCAATATGGAAATCTTTAAATGTTTTTAGAATAAAAATTTATTTTCTTGTTTATTCCTGAAAATAAAAAATTTAAAGAAAAATGCTAAGAAAAACGGATTTTTTTGTTTAATAAAATTTAGATATTCTAAATTAATTTTAAAAGAACTGACAATTTTTGATAAATTATTTTAATTTTCGCAAATCCATTTTTCCTTGGGCAATAGTTTAATGTACATATTTTGGGGCTATGTAAGAGGGGAAAGGGATGGGAGGGAAGGGGATTTTTACTTTGTTTAGTTTAGCTCTTTTTTTACTCAAAAATTTCAATCATTTCTTTCCTCTTTCTTTGAATTTTCAATGTTTTTTGTTGTTGTATTGTTTTCCCCGTTTTCTCCAACAAAATTTGGATTTTGAATTTCAACATCTCCAGTAGGTGCCAATCCTTTAAAATATTTTTTAAAAGTTTTTTCTTTTCAAAAATTTTATCAAAACCTGGACATTCAAAAACACTAAAATTATGTTCAAGTTCATCATTTTCTTCTTCATTGTCACTCATTTGGTCATTACTAATTGTTTGGCCGGCTCCCAAAATTTTTTGTTTTTGTTGTTGATATTGTTGAAGTTGGGCTTTATAAGCTATAAAAAAAATAAATTATTATTTTTTAAAATTAATTCCTCTCTTTTAATTTTACCTAAAGTATCGTCTCCAACAGTTTGTCCAAATGCTTGTGCTCCTCCTCCTCCTCTCTTACTAAATTTGTCTTTGCCAGGTCCGGAGGGCGAATAACGAGTAAACTCATTAAAAGGGTCATCAACATTTGAGGACCGAACACTTTAAAGAGAAAAATATTATTTTTTAAAATTATATTAAAATAATTAACTGGTTGTAGTAGTAAACACCCCCAACAACCCCAGCAACAACACCAACACAGCAAATTGTTAAATAAGCTTAAAATAATTTTTAAAATTAATATTTTTTTTCCAATTAAAATACCAATAAACAAAATATTTCCAGAAGCATTAAAGAAATGGAAAGGACCTCCTCCACCTCTTCTCTGATTATCGAAATAAGAAGAATCACTTGGCAAACTTTAAAAATATTTTTTTTCTTAAATTTTATTTTTATTTATTTAATTACCGTTTCTCCATCCATTCAATATCTTTAATTCTTTTACTATTTAAATTTTGGTTACTAATAGGCTCTGCAAATTCAACAAATTCATTTTGACCTTTTTTGACTGGTGTTGCCATTTTAGAAGGCTTTTTTGTCTTAAAAAAATAAAAAATAATTTAAAGAAACACCCCTCTAAATACCTCATTTAATTTTTTAAAAGCCAAAATATTTTTTTCAAAATAATCTAAAGCTCTTCCTAATTTATTAAGCCAAATTAATTTATGCTCTTTTTGGCCCAAAATAAATTCTCCACTAGCTTTATCTTTTAATAATTTTGTCAATATTTTTTCACTTTCATTTAAACGATTTAATAAAAAATAATTTTTATTTTCTTTTAATTTTTCTTTTTTTCCAATAATTTCCAACGATTTTTCCCCAATTTCTATCAATTTTTTATAAACTTTTATTTCCTCAAAAGAATTATTTTTTTGTTTTTTAATTTCTTTTTCAAAATTTTTTGACAAAATTAAATCTTTTAAATTACTCCCTTCTTCAACAAAAGTTTCCCACAAAATTTCAAATCTTTTATCTTTTTCTGATATTTTACTTAACAAATCTTTAATTAATTCTCCTTTATTTAATAAATATTTTATATATTCCTTTTCTTGATTTAAATAATATTCTTGACTTGTTAACTCCTTTTCAATTAAAAAATATATTAGACTTTGATCGGCTACTACTTTTTTTAGCCTTAATCCAATCCGAGTGAATTTTATATTTTTTAGAAGCCCCAATAAACGGCATCCTTTCCTAGCGGGATTGATCAAATCTGGTCAATAATTAAAAGTTATAACCCGATAAATGTGAAGAACACAAATGCATTTATTTGTTGTAACTTTTTAATGAGTGATCAGACTTGATCAAGCCTGTTAGGAAAAAGATACTACAGCTTGTCTTCTTTTTTAAGTTACCATTAATTTTTTTTCTTTAACTATTATCGGGGAAAATTGTATTTTTTTAAAATAATTTATGTATTTATTTAATTTATTTACCTCTTCTTCTTCTTCAGTACTAGTCCCCTCAGAATCTCCTCCCATTTCTTCTCCAATTTTTTCCTCACTAATTTGTTTCAATTCCATACCAAGACGACGCAATTCTTCCAATTCTTCAGCATTTCTATTTCGTAACCGCGGCTCTTCAGGATTTAAAAAAGCTTTAAAATTAAAAAATAATTTAAAATAATTTAATTATTTTTTACGTTTATCCTCGTTTTCTTCGAATAAAGGGGCGGCGTTATATTGTTGATTATAAACATTTTGTTGTCTAAGTTGATCTACTATATTAGCCAAACGTTGACGTTGACGCTCTTCTTGGAAAGATTCTGTATATCTAAATAAATATTTAGTTAAATTTTTTTTCTTTAGGAGTAAATAAAATAGGAATTCTTCAAGGAAAATATGAATAGATTTAAATTAGTAGATAATTAAAGATAATTTTTTATTAAATTACAAATTTGGTTGTTCATATTCTTGTTCCATTTCTAATTCTTCAGCAATTCCAGCAGTTGAAGATTTATCATTTTCTTGTTTTGTTGAATAAGAACCTCCTTCTGAAATTATTTTTGTAAAATTATTAACTTTAGAAGATTCAATCTCATTATTATATACAAACAAAAATAAAAGGGATTTAATTTACATTAAAGTGATCATTATTATTTAGTGGACTGATAAACTTTAAATGGACTAATAAACATTGGATTAGTAAACTAGGCCAGAGAGCATCTAATTTTTTGAGGATTCAAAGTCGACTAGTACCAAATTACAAATTTATTTTTTTTAAATATTTAAAATAAAAAAATATATTTACCGGAATATAAACGATTTTGTTGTTCTGATGACATAAATCCATTACAAAGTTGCGCAGCAAAAAGTAAATTAAATGTAAAAATGGTTAGGAAAAAATCAAATAATTTTTTCTTGGACATTTTAAAATAACAAAAAGAGGCTTTCATAAAAAATATTTTTTATGAAATGTTGTGTGTTGCCCCTTAATAATGTTTTTTAATTTAATTTAATTAAAAAATAAATTTGTAAATATTTAATGAGATTATATTCAGATTTAAAAATAAGTTTTTTGGGTATTAGAAGCTGGTAAATATTTAAGAATATAAACTATATATGTATTTTATGTAAAATAAACATAAAATAATAATAACAAAAAATTTTAGCTATTGGACAAGTTGACAAACAAAAAAGACTATCCAACCAATGTTTCTCTATAAATGCCATTAATGGTAAAACTTGGAAATATTTAATGTAAAAACTAACTGACAAACAGAGGTTTTCTCTCTATTGCTTTTTTGAGAGTTAAAGCTTTTGAAAGGGAATATTTAGAGGTTTTTAGCCTTTTCCCCTCTCCCTATCCATTCATCGGATTGATTGGATGTAAACGCACGCATATCCCCTAAAAAGGCCATAGATGCCTAGTGATGTTAAGCGAGAGGGATTAGCGAGCGTGGCAAACAAATAAATGAATGCCGTAAAGAAATAAAAAATGTTAGCGTTAACAGTGACAAAAAATGCCGAAAAGGAATGCCGCGGGTCCTCTTTCTTTGTCAACAACTATTTGCCTGGCTTTTTTAAAAAAGCTTGTGAAAGAGAGAAAGATGAATGAGCGGAAGTTATGTAGAAATATATTTTTCTTTCTTTTTTACATTAAAAAAATTGCCAATGAAATATTTTACAAGAAAAATAAAAGAAAGGAATAATGAAATAATTTCAAAAACTACTACTACATACATATGTAGCTTTAGAAAAAGCCTAAAGAGAATCTCCAATTTCTTTAGTTTCTGTACATATAAATAAAAATATTTTTAAATTGGAAGGCTTTATGTGTTCTGAGTATTTCCAATAAAGACCAAAAATTTAAGTAAAAAATGAAGAAAGATGGGGGTTAAAAAAGCTAATCGATTTGTTTTAATTATTCACGTTTTTATTCACGTTTTCTGTTTAAATATAGAGTTAATTTAAATAATTTAATAAAAAGCTAAAATTAAATTAAATAATTAATGTTGGCAATATTTTACTAATTTTCATTTAATCTGAAAATATCAATTTAAAAATAATACAAATTCTGAATGAGATATATAAATTAAAGTATTACTTTAAAAAAGAAAAATTTTAAAGTAAATTTAAAGAATCAGAATATTATTTATTTTACTTTAATAAAATATTCTTTTTAATAATTTAATTTTTAAAAAATTAAGAAAAATATTTTTTAAATAATAATATTTAAAAACGTCAATAAATAATTAATTAACTATAATAAATTTTTGGCAACGTGTGTTTAATGAGAAGCTATAAAATTATATATAAAATTTAAATATAATTTTCGTAATAGAGTCAATGAATTTAAGAGAGAATTTAATCTAATTTATATAAAATGTTTTCAAAACATTTTGCAATAATAAATAAATATATTTTGTTTATACAGTTGAATTTTTAAAATATTAAACCTCCCGGGCTTAATGCAAAAAAAAATATAATTTATTTTAATTTTCAATCAAAGACAATCAATTCTACTTTTTCATTTTTGATTGTTGAAAACAATATTCGGCAAATTATGTTTTTGAAGAGTATTATCTCGAAGAAGATTTCGAGATATTAACAAGATTAGATATTTTTATAAAAAATTAATTTATCTACTTTAAAATGATAAAAAATTTGAAACTAAACAATGTTTGTTAAAAGAATTTCGGTTCATATTTAAATTGAAGATCAGTTTCATTCAGAAATGAAACTGATTATTGTCTGATGATTCTATTTGGGCTTGTATAAATTAATGTAAAGCCAGCGAAAGTTTCTCTGAAATAGTTGATAATACAAGAGTTATGGGCAAACTATTATTAAAATTGGAAAAAAAGTCAAACGATTTTACAAAAAAAAAACTCGATCTCGAAAACAAAATTTTTCAAAAAAAAACAAAATTTTTTCAAAATTTTTCAATAAACTCGAAAAATTTTGCTGGATCATCTTATAGCGCCGAACACTTGATGAAAAGATAAATGAATTATAAAGCTAAAAACTCAAAATAAATTATCCTTATGCATCAGTATGTAACAATTAAACATTTAATTAACAAAAACTAGAATATGTATTGTTTTTTAAATAATCACTTAACTATATAATCATCATTACTTCGTCTAAATGATAATGCTATAATGGTAGCTTCGTTTTTTTTCCTTTTAATTGCCAATTAAAGTGATAAGAGGTGGAGTTGAAATAAAAAAAAATTTTTTCTGGATAATTTTGCTGTAAAAATCATCAAACATTAGAAAAACAATTTTTTAATTTTTTAAATATTTAAAAATATTACATATGTATGTAGTAATAATTTTTTATTTTAATTTCCTCTTACAATCAACCTGGTTTAATTAAAAATTTGGAAATTAAATTTTTCTAATAAGTTTTATTCAATTTCCAGTTTTTTGTTGGAAAAATGTCGACGCTACATATCAAATTATACCGTATCGATCTACAAAATGTTCTTTCCGATACAAATAAAAATCAAACTTTTTAAAAATAATTTCATGAATTCCTTCTACTTTTTATGAAATTTAAGTGATTATACGTGATTTTTATTGATTAAATCGGCGTTTCTTTTAGAGTCACAATTTTTTCATCTTTTTTTAATTTCCATCAGTTTATTATTGTCAATTTACACTATACTCTAATAGTCGCCTCTTTAATTCGCCTCAACATTACTTTCTTCTAACAGCATTTGACGATAGTAGTAACTCACTTTAAAATAGAAAGCAAATACATATAAAAAAATTCGCCAGTGAGGTATGACTGAGTTTGTGAGTGTAATAGTTAGTGTGTGAATAATCGATTCCTTCTATTATTGCAAAATTGTACATGCATGTCCCATGCTTTATGTCTCTTTTTCGGCTATTACTACATATTTCTTTTGGCCAGAAACACTGGCAAAAAGAAAAAGCAAAAAATAGTAGTGTTAACGAAGCATTATTGATAGCTTCAATTAAAAATATTTCAATCAGTTTTATCAAAATATAATTATCAAATTTTAGAGGGAAACACCTGCTTATGGACTGGCAAGGTGGAAATGAGTTGAATTCTGATATTTCAAATAATGGACATAATGAACTATTTGATTTTGCCCAAATTGGGGATGAACATTTTACAAATGAAGATAGAGAACAACATTGGCATGCTTTAAATTGGAGGGTTTGAAATACTAAATTTATATTAATTTACCTTGCATTCTAATTAAATTATGCAGTCAAATAAATATTTAAACTTTAATTATTTTGAGGGAAATGTCAAAGTGTAAAATATTCGATTTAAAAAATAATCAATTTGGCGCTTTGATTGTTACAAATTGAATTTTATGCAAACTCTTTTCTATTTTTTATTAATTTTTCTTTAAAAAGTTTTTCTTAATATGTTTCTTTTACAAATAATTTCATTTCCATTTTAATATTTTTTGCAAAATTTTGTTTCTAATATTTATTATTTAGATGGATAAACTTCGATGGATGCCTGAAGAAGAAGCCGAATCAACTATTGTAGCTAGTGATTACCAATGTCAACCACAAGGTGTGGACAGTGAAGGAAGTTCTTACAATGCCCATGCAAATATGTCTGGTGATGGAGCTTGTGATGATGGGTTAATTGATGGTTCAATGGATAACGATCAAGAAGATCAGCCGCCTTTAGGGAGTGATGATGAAGAACAGGTTTTTTTGTTTTTAATTGAAGGGGTGTGTTTACATTTTTTTAAATTAAATTCCAGGAAGATCCAAAAGATTACCGAAGAGGTGGTTACCACCCTGTAAGAATTGGTGATGTGTTCAAGAATGGCAGATATCACGTTATAAGGAAACTTGGATGGGGACATTTCTCAACTGTTTGGCTTTGGTATTTTTTTCTTATTTCCATATTTTTAAATATTTTTCCATAGTTGGGATATCGAATCAAAACGCTTTATTGCAATGAAAATTGTTAAATCTGCAGAACATTATACTGAGGCTGCTCTAGATGAAATTAAGGTTATTTTAGATTTTCTGGCAATAGTGAACTTTGCAGACATGATCTTTTCATTCCTAAATTTTTTTCCTATTTATGTACAGAATGGGCAAACTTTTTCCTTTCTTTCGTACAAATTGCCTTTCTATATTTTGCCTGCAATCAATCAAAAAGTCTGACAATTCTTTACATAAATAGGAAATAACTTATTGTTAGGTAGTAAAAAATTGAGTCTGTAAAGTTAAATATGTATTACCGATTTTTTTATACCTTTTTTTTAATTTAGCTTCTGGAATGTGTTAGAGATTCAGATCCTTCTGATATGGCACTGCAGGTTTTTAGAATTTTTAGATTCAAATTTTAACTAAAAGTCTTTAGCGAGTTGTCCAATTGTTAGATCATTTTACTGTTAGTGGGGTAAATGGAGTGCATGTCTGTATGGTTTTTGAGGTTTTTTTCTTTAATTTTTATAAGTTATTTTTTTATTTTTTAGGTTCTGGGATGTAATTTACTCAAATTGATTCTTAAAAGTGATTACCAAGGATTGCCAATACCAATGGTTAAAAAGATTATAAAACAAGTTCTTGAAGGACTTCATTATTTACACGAAAAGTGCCAGATTATACATACGGGTGAGTTGAGGTTCATATTTCTTAAAAAAAATTTTGTATTTAGATATTAAGCCAGAGAATGTACTTATAACGATGAGTCCTGAAGAGGTTAAAAAGTTAGCTGAAGATGCTATATTGGCAGGAAAGACAGGCAAAAATTTGTCAGGAAGTGCAATTTGTAGTTCAAAACGGTGCTTTAAAAAGGTTTTTTTCTTTAATTTTTTAAAATTAAAATTAAATAAAGATGGAGGAATCTATGACTAAAAGTAAGAAGAAAAAATTGAAAAAGAAGCGAAGACGTCATCGAAATCTTTTGGAACAGCAACTCAAAGAAATTGAGGGAATGAGTGTTGATATTGATAGTCTAGATTCCGGTCGAAATGTATGAAGTTTTTCTATTTAATTTTTGACCTCCTTGTCTCTATTTAGAGTTATATGGAGTTATATTACGGATCTAGAAAAACTAGGAAAATTTCTTAGCTTATCATACTTATGTTAGCTTATCTTTTAAATTTTATTTTTATAGCAATTTCTATCAGTCGATGACCAACTTAACAGCTCTGCTTTTTCATCAACCGAGCGTGACCCGGATAATAGTGAAACAACAACTGGACTTCATTTGAAGAGTGAAGACTCAAATGATGATGAACAGATTATTAATGAACAAAAAGCAACGAATCTCAAAATTTTTGATGAAATCAAAATCCCACGCATTTATTTAAATCAATTTGCTCAAAATGAAAAGGAAGGAGTGAAAGCAGTTATTAAAAAGGAAGTAAAGGAAGAAGAGGCTGGAGAATCCAGAAGAGAGGAAAATCAAGCTGGAATTAATGGAAATATTATTTCTAACAATAAACAGCAACAACAAGAAAAGCCAACTAAGAAAAATTCTGTTGGCAATAAAATACTGCCAGAGAATAGTAATCAAGAGAATAATAAGGAGAAAGGTTTTCTCGTGACGTTTAATTTGTTTATTTTTCGAATTTTTAGGACCTCCAGAAACAGAACCAAAAAGAACAGGAAAGAAAAAGAAGGGAAATAATGCAAAAAACAAGCAACAAAATCAACAGCAAGAATCTGCCAAAAAAGAAAAAAGAGACGAATCCCCATCACCTCCAATTAATAGGGATGAAACGGATGATTTAATTGAAGGAGGAATAAATCCAAAAATTAAAAATGACAATCCCAAAAAACAAAATGTGAATACCAAACAAGAACAAAATAAACAATTGTATAATGGAGAATTGTTAATGCCAAAAATTGAAGTTAAAGAAGAAATTATTGAATCACCTCAAAAGGATGTTGAAGTAAAAGAATTTTTTATTGAGAATATTTGTAATTTTTTAAAATCTTAATTTAGGAAAATGAAACAACTACGAAAACTAAAAAGAAGAAACGAAAGAAGAAGAAACAAAAACAATCTTTGGAGGAATTGGAAGATGCAAGAATGGATGAATCAAATGAGCTTGAAAGTAAAGAAATTATAAAGCCTGTTTTATCTGAGGAAGCAATTCTAGAAGATGATCAATTAATAAAGGAAGTTGGTGATGTTTTTTTTAATAAAAATGAAAAATTATTTTTTAGAAAAATGAAGAGGAGGGGCAAAATTGGAAATTTCTTCGAAAGGATTTTGATGTAAAAATTGCTGATTTAGGAAATGCTTGTTGGACGGTATATTGAAAATATGATTAAATAATTCATTAAACTTTTTAGCATCATCACTTCACTGAAGACATTCAAACTCGTCAATATCGGGCACTTGAAGTTATTATTGGAGCGGTATTTTTTAAATTGTTTGAATAAAATTTTGAGAAAAAATTCTGAAATTCTTATCAAATAAAACACTATTTTTTGAAATTTAACTTGGTATTAAACTAAAGTAATAGTTAACCGCATTATTAAAAAATCCTTAAAAAAATTAACAAAATTAAATTTAACAAATCCTCTATTTGACGTGAGGATTTTGGTCAATGTTTGAAATTATTAGTTTTATTATTCGATTTATGACTTAAAACTTTTTTAAAAATAATTTACAAAATTTTAGAGTTATAACCAAGCTGCCGATATTTGGAGTATTGCATGTATGGTTAGTTTTATTTTCAATCTTTTATAATATTTTAATCTCTAGGCATTTGAATTAGCTACTGGCGATTATTTATTTGAGCCACACAGTGGTACAACATATAGTCGAGATGAAGACCATCTCGCGCATATTATTGGTAATTTTTAAAATATTTTTGATTGTATATTTTCTGTTTTTATAGAGCTTTTGGGCAGCATTCCGCCAACTGTATTTAAAAAGGGTGAGCACTGGCGTGAATTCTTCCATAAAGTAAGGGAATTTTGATTTTTATATGTTTAAAATGCTTCTCTTTTAAAGAACGGTCGCTTACTGCATATTCCCAATTTAAAGCCATGGTCGCTTGTTGAAGTTTGTTTTGATTTTTTATAATATTTTAAGAAAAATTAATCAGATTTCATATTTCCTAAAAATATAAAATAATTGGAATTTATTTGGTAAACTTGTTTTTTCTAATCTCGAAAAGATCTGAGACATTTTTATGATCCCTTCCTTATTTTCCTTCATTTTTGAGAAGTATGAATATCAAAATTAAATTTTTTCAGGTGCTAACACAAAAATATGGTTGGCCATTTGAACATGCACGTTCTTTTGCCTCATTTCTCCTTCCAATGCTTAATTACGAGTAAATAATTAAATAAATTAAAATAAAAACTTTGCTTTTTTAGACCTTCAGAACGAGCTACCGCTGGTCAATGTTTAAAGCATAATTGGTTGAAAGGAGTTGAATAATGTTTAAAAACTTTAAAGAAAAAAGGAAAATTGTGGTAATGATGAGCGCATTTTGATTCTTCATTTTTATCGTTCTCTGAAGTGAGGCAAACTCAAATAAATACTGAATATTTTAAATTCACAATTTTCTTTTTCTTTCTTTTTTTTTAATTTTACATTTACATGGGCAAGGACAAAAAAATTAAAAAAAAATGTTTATTTAAAAATAGCAGAATATTTTTAGCTACTTTTCTTGTTTAAAAGTCCCCTTTTCTTTTTAACAAGTTCGATTGTCTATTGTACTATATATACTATTACTATGCATTATTTTGTAGATTGATTGGTAAAACAAAGCCGAGACTACTTTTTTTAAGTTCAAAATACTTTTAATTAGTATATATTTTTTAAATTGTTTTCCAATCAATGATTTTAAAATAAAAATTTTTGGAAACTTATTTGTTAGGAATTTTCCCTCAATTATTTAAATTTCGACCTTATTTTCCTGTTAAATAATTGAAAAAAATAAAAAAGATTAAGTATTTATTTAAAAAAACAAAAAAAAAATATTTTTATTTTAACTAAATTTATTATTAAAAATTAATTTTAAGTTTTCTCCAAACATTTTTTGTGGAAATTATTACATAAAAAGAATTAAAAAATATTAATTAGTAGAGAATAATCTTTGCGAATAGGCAGGAGTTTGCTGAAATATTTTTTTGATTTAAATTTAATTTTTTTCTGTTTATTGTCCAGTTTGGATAGTCTTTTGTGTATGTGTTGCTCTTTCTTCCCCTTCTTTGTTAAAGAATGCAGTTATCACATTTTGTCCAACACCCCAACTTTCCTCATGAATAATTAATGAATGTGGAGGAGAATGAACACCTCCTTGACCTGCTGCCCATATCTTTATAAAAGTTAAATTAGGGCGGCTGATTCTGAAACGATAAAGTGAATGGCTCCACAAATAAAGGGCAATTATTTTTAACCTTCAGGCTTGTTTTCGGTTCCGAATACCTAGAACCGCCAACAGGGAAAGGGATTCTCTTTCTTTGAACCTTGAATAATCTATCTCAATCCCTTTATTTTTACCTTAACATTCCTCCCGGCAGGTATAATAATATTTGCAGGTATTGTATAATTAATTTCACGTTTATCATCCATTCTTCGTTTAAGTCTACAACCAGAAATATCTTCATCCTAAATTTTTTAAATTTTAAGGAAAAAAAACTCTTTTCTTTAAAGAAACTTTGCTTTTATGTGTATTTTCTAGCATTATATATTTCCCATTAGGTTCACATTCAGCAATTGTTATATTTCCTTTAGCAGAACGTTGGAAAGTTGTTTTTGTTTGGACTTCTCCACGAACATTACGAGTTGAATCTGTCTCTTCTTGTTGTTGAAGTGAATGAGTTTTTACAACCTTTTTTTTAAAATTATTTAAAAGTCCCCCCTCATTTAAAGTCCCCTCCCCCCACCTGTTCAACCATTTGTCTTAACCCAACACGACTTTCTTCTCCTTCTAACATTTTTCTATAAATAGCAATTTCAGCATCTAACATTTGTTTTGTATCTAATAATGATTGTAATTCAGCAACTAATTGTTGACATTCATCTTTTAGACGACGTAAAGTTGCATCCCTTTCATTCAAAGCTTGTTCATATCTTTATTTAAATTTAGAAAAAAAAATATTTTATTTTTTCTCTTACTGTCGTTGATCATCAGTTAATTGATAATTTAATGTTTGTACTTCCTTTTCTAATTGAGAATTTTTATTTTCCAAATCTCCAAACTTTCCACGTAAATCTCCAATATTGTCTCTCATTCGTTTTACTTCTTCTCGTTGGTAATTAGATTCCATAAGTGCTCGATTAGCATTTCCTTGAACTTCTGACACCTATGTACATATTTATTTATTTTACTTCATTACTTTCCCTCTGTTCTTTTAATTACCTTCAATTTATACCAACTTTCCATATCTTGACGTCCTTGTTTAGCAATATAATCATATTCGTCTTTAATATCTCGAATAGCCAAGGCCAATTCATTTTTAAAGAATTCGCGTGTATCTGCCGGTGCTTGGGCCAAAAGTGCTTGTAATTCTTTAACTTCTTGTTCATGTACACGACGAAGGAACTTGAGATAAAGAAAATATTAAAGTCCCTTTCTATTTTCTTTACCTCCAATTCTTCCAATAAAGTTTGGACTTGATTTTGGAAGTCAATACGTCCAAGTGTTTCTTCATCCAAATCCTAAAAATTAAAATCATTTCCCAAATATATATTTCTTTTTTTTTCTAAACATTTCTAGCTTTAGTTAAGTCATCCCAAAGACGAGCATTATCTCCAGTAAAACGTTTTTCTTCGTCAGTTAATTGTTTCCAACGGGCTCTAAGCATTTCCAATTCACTTTGAGCATCAGCTATCATATTAGTAAATTGAATTATATGTTCTCGATCTCCTTCTCGACGGCGTTGAATATCCTCAAAGCTTTGAAGGAAAGGAGGAAATTATTTAATAATTAATTTATTTTTTTTCTTTACCGATTACGATATTCATTTAAATCATCACGTAAACGAGCAACTTTAACATCTAATGCAGCTTTATCACGTGCTGCTTGGTCAATATCTTTTCGAGCAGTTGAAAGAGTTGTTGAATATCTTACCTATTTAATTTAAAATTATTTTCAAGAGTTTTTAGCTTTAGTTAAATTATCCCAAAAACAAACATTATCTCTCTATATACATATAAATAAAACTTTCTTAAAACAATCTTTAAAATTGTTTAATAATTATTTTTTAATCCATGGATTATTTTCCAGAAAAATGACTAAATTTAATTAACAAATAATAAGCCCCCTTTAAAAACTTTTTCATCCTACCTTAACTTCACTAGTATCCTTTCCCCATTGTCCACGAAGATCTTCCAAATCTTGTACTAATTTTCGATTTTGTTCTTCAAGATTCTTAACTCTATCGATATAATTAGCTAAACGATCGTTTAAATTTTGCATTTCCTTCTTTTCTTTATCAGTAGCTTCCAAAAAGGATTTAGCGGCACTTGCACTCAATGCCGGGCTAATACCTCCAACTGCCGGTGCCGACCCCATTTCTGTTACCATTTTGAGTATTCGACCACCACATAAAAAATAAAATATTTTAGACTAGGATTAAATTTTGTTAAATAGAGGAAGAAGCAAGCTTCTCTCTATGAATAATTAATTCCCCCTTCTAATTTTCTCAAAAAATACCTCCTCCAGAAGTCCCATTCTGTGTTATCCCATCAACAACAGAATTAGAAACTATCGAAGTAGAAGAGCCTACTCTTTTAATTTCAACCATATTTTTTATTTTTATTAAAAATTCTTAAAAATATTTGAAAGTGAAAATTGGAAAAGGAAATATAATTTAAAAGAAATGAAAACTAGTTAAATTAAAAAGAATTTTTATATATTAATTGGTGAAAAAGAAAGGGGAAGAAGAAAGAATTTTGTTTTAAAAATTAATTTAAAAAAATTGAATAGAAAAAAATAATTGAAAGTATTCACGTAATCTATTCGAGGACAAATAAATAAAAAAGTAATTAGATAAAATAGAAAAAAAATTGAAAGTTTTTTTTTGAAAAAATAAAAAAGCTCGTCGAGGTCATCTTTGAAGATAATCAACATTTACAAAATATATTTATTTATTTTTATTTATTTTTATTATATACAATTTGCGCATTCTGGGCAGCTATAAAAAGAAGTTTTAAATGATAAGAAGACGACTAATTAAAATTAAAGAAGAAAACTTGATGGAGGTTTGTGGGTGTGCAGCTGATTGGAAAGGAATTTTGTGTTGATTAAATAGAGAAGAAGAAAAATATTTTTAAAGTAAAAATAATGGAGAAAGATATAAGAAAATAATTTAGCGCTGAATCACTCCAAAAATAAAATTAAAGTTGACGTTAAAGATATACAGACTTGCCAATTGATTCATAACACATTGCTTGTGGAGTGTGTTTGGTATAAAATTAATAAATGATTGGAATGATTTATTAATTAATTAGTAAAAGGGAAGGGAAGTTCCTTTTTGTTTTTATCGGCAACAATACAAAATTGGAACAAAAAAATTAAATTAATAAAAATAATTAATACTTATTTTTACTTATAGTACCAATAATTACTTAAAGGATAATACTTATCAACCATTACAAAAACAGCAGATATAATGGATAAAGGTGTCAAGTCGATTTAAAGATTTTTTGTTAATTAATTAATTTTTTTTTGGTAATTTATTTACCTCCTCCCCCACCTCCACCAGAAGTAGTTGTTGTTGATTGTCTACTTTGTGTAGTATGTGTAGCTCTAGGCTGTATTGTTGATCTATATTCTAATTCGTAATCATTTAAATCTTTTGACATTTTCTTTTATTTTTATTTATTTTTAATTTCTAAAATAAAAATTCTAAATTTATATAAAATTATTTTTAATTAAAAATTGTCACAAAAAAAACATGTTTTATATATTAAAAATTGTCAAAAGGAACAAAACAAACAAAAAATTAAAAAGAAAAATTGCTGGAAAAGTGGGAATTAATAAAAGAAGATGATGATAAAAAATGACAAAAATAATTGCTTTATAAGAATTGTAAATATTATTATTTTTATGTGAAGGAATTGAAGTGGAGAAAAATAAAAATAAAAATTGACGTTTATTTAAAAGCAATTTAATTTAATTAATCATTTAAATTATGAAATTAGGTATACAATAAATCTTTTAAATGTAAATTAATCAAGATTTGACTTTTAAAAATATTTTTTTCTTTTTTATAAAAACAAAAAAAAATTATTTTTAAATAAATTAGTAATTTGATGTGTCGTTCCACTACAAAATTATTTTTTTTGAAATATTATGTATTCACCAAACTTTAAATTTAAATAA